AATCAAAAACCTCGAGCACATCCCTGATAAAAATATTAATAAACTTATCCGTCCAATTACCAAAGTCTTTTACACACAATCTGAACAGGGTCCTTTACAAAAGGTTGAATTTAATATCAACAAATGGTTTATGATCGAATATAGTACTGTATGTGTAGCTACCTGTGACCCTCAAAAATCCCGTATCTTTAAACTAGGTGGCCAACTTTATCTCAATATCTTTCCAGGATTCCTCCATATCCTGCGTTCGATATCCACTTTGAATCTACAACCCACCTCGCGGTTAAATTTATCTTCTTTCACATTCAGGATATCTGGTGTTCAGGCGATTGGAATCTTACTGAGTATATCATAAAGTGGTTGGCCGGTGTGGCAGCTGGAAGGAAAATGTATTCGATTCTCTACCTGAAATCTGGACAGGGTTGGGGTAAGAGTATTATAACAGATTTCATTCAACGTAGTGTCTTAGGTACTCAACTTGTTTATAAGACCAGCGATCCTCAAACGATTCTTGGAAGTTTTAATGGGCAATTACAAGGTAAGGTTCTTCTCCTCCTCGAGGAAATGCCTACAGAAAAAAGCCAGTGGAATAATCTGTATTGATCGTTGAAGGATAAGGTAACAGGTGACATAATGGAAATCCATGAAAAATACAAGATGCCAACACATTACAAAAACTTTATATCCACCATTGTATTCACTAATGAAAATGCTCTCAGAGTGGAGAATGACGATAGGTGCACAGTGTTCTTGGATGTATCACCATCCCGCAAGGGAGACCTCAACTACTTTAAGAAACTCAGTAACGCTATGAAATACCCAGGCGCCAGTGAGGCATTCTATGCTTACTTGAGAGCCATTGCAGATGCTTATCTAGACTTCAATGGGAATCCACCACCTATGACAACATCTAAGCAGGATCACATCATATCGACTCTTCCACCCCTATTTCAATTCATAAAGGACACTTACCTCATAGTAAAAAATCATATAACCGATCTACCTGTTTAAGAATTTTATAGGGTATATACTTCATACTGTGAAACTCATTGCATTACACCCCTATCAAAGATAAACGCTTCTAGAATCCTATCAAATGAGTTGGGTATAAATAGCAGAAAAATACGTGTAGGTAAGGCAACACCACGAGTTTATAGCATATCCAGGGAGGACCTTTACAAGAAGTTTCTCACCAAAAAATGGATCCACGAAACAGATGAAATCAATATAAAAGGAATAAATGTAGAAACTCCTGAGAAGCCCGCATCTGATCCAAATGCCTTGGTAAAGTTCTTGGCAAATATATATAATCCAGCTAGTAAATCGCAAGTAGATCAAGAGGAAGTGGAGCCAGTTGTTGAGAAACCTGCTGAGGAAAAACCCGCTCCTGTCGAGAAGAAGCCTACTGAAGAGAAACCAGTTTCCAAAAAGACTTCACCACCAGTACCACTTAAGCCCGATTGCTTGAAGGCAAAACCCGCACCTGTCATCAATGAGGATCCTATTCCTGAGGAATCTCCAGCTCCTATAGAGTCAGATACTAATGAACCTATAGATAGCTTCTCGGACTGTTATCTATCTGATGAGGAACCTGATCAAGAAAATGAGCTGTCTGCTGAGAAACCTGCATTTAAAGCTGATGATGACTACGACGTTTTAGATGACTTGCTATCTGACTCAGATTTTACAACTGTGAACCCAGCTCCTGAACAACAATCCGAGTCTCCCGCAGAATCTTCTGCATCTGTCACTAAGCCTGATTCAGAACCAGCTCCTGAAGAGCAACCTATCCCAGAACTCGATACAGAACTAGAAGTTGACCGGGACCCTGAACCAAAGGAAGGTACTCAAGCACACTGGGCTTGGCATGAAAGACACTGATGGGATCGTAAGCCATGGGTCAAGAATTCAAAGGACCAGGTCTTCAATGATCTCTACAATACAGGTAAGGATTTATGGGCTAAGTACCAAGACGTGTCAGACGAGTATGACTGGAAAATACTCGTGTTTGAAGTAGAGGAATGTCCCACAACACGTATTGAGGACGAGTACCAGTACTACCTTAGGGAAGTAGTAGACCGCTTCAAGGACTGGATCGAATATAATGGGAACTCACCTAAAACACCTAGCCGTAAAGAACTCGCAAATCTAATAAGAGTATACAAGGAGGATCGTGATGCTGAGATTATCCCTACTACCTCTGGTTATGAAACTATGAAGATAAATAAAGGTAAGGCACGAGAAATCCCAGAGGAACGTCCAAAAACTGATATGGAACATGAATGGGAGGCCGCCAATGGAATCATCGATGACTGGAATGAAAAGGATACTGAGGGCGCTATCAATGACATATTGTAAGCGCTATTTGAGATTATTTCTTTTTTTTTCGTATATATATAGAAAGATATTATTTATAGTTTAAGACAATTCATATACATAAAAATGCAATACTCAAGAATTGCCCGCACTTTACCAACACGACCTGACATCAAGGAACTTCAGTATTCCTGTGCCCGCTTTTCCAGAGGAGCTATCGCCAGACTCGGTCAGACTCTCCAGGCGCGATTTCCAGATAGAAAGTTCCAGATCCTACTTCCCTATGAAAACTGGAAACTCGGTGGATGGACATCAGGAAACCAACCAGCCAGCCTCTTCTCACTCTTGGACCACTATGATGAAGCACAACTACCAGATGATGCAGATCCTGATTACTTTGAACGATTCATAATTTATGTGAGAGATGCTCCACTGGTTGCAGGGGGATGCAATGGGGAGCTAAATGATTGCCTGTATGAATGCCTGAAGCATATCTATGGTATATTCTCTAAAATACCCGAGACTATAAAAAAGCCTGAATATATCAAAAAGGCATTAGGTCTTAATCGTGATGCTCCAGTTCCAGTCTCATATATGGATAAGGTTGAACAACTTGCAGAAAGTCTTGCACTTAATATTGTAGGGATTCCACTCGAATTTCCAAGAGCAAATCTGACAGACGTGCAACCTTCATCCTGTCTGAAGGCCACTACTCTCTTGCACTGAATCCTGGAAGACTTCACCCTAGTAAATTAGATAGAAAACAAAAGTCTCCCTTTGTTTATCGTGAAGATGGGGTTAATAATGTAGTTACAATATACAATGGTAAGACAGTTAAGTCTCTTACAGTTGGACAGTTTCAGAAAGGTAAGAACTCTGATAGTTACTCCTTCATCCCTATTGAGAAGAATTGTAAAACTGGAATATATGAAACACTTGAGGAAACATACCAGAGGATTCATGAAGAGTGGGATTCCTTTCTACAGGCTACAAAGAAGTTCGGTCTAGGAATCGACTTATCTTATCACAACTGGTCGTACAAGAGAACTGCTCTCTGGCTTTTTGAACGGTTTAGTGTAGTAGTTCCAGCTAATGATCCTCTTGTTCCAGTCGAAGCAGAGTGGATAAGTGATGCAATGATGGGAGGTCTTATCTGGGCAGATAATGAATGGAAGGGCTATGGAAGACAATACGACGTGACAAGTTTGTATCCAAGTATTCAGCAATCAAATGCTAACTTTCCAATCCAACAAGGTAAGTTTCAAATACTCAAAGACTTTGTAGACCACAGAGGTTATGCCTTGTATGGATTATTTCGTGCTAGCTCTCAGGGAGCGCCCAAGGGCAAGGTAAGTGGTAATGACATTCTCTTCCGACAGAATAAGAGGGGAGTCTATACATTCATTGACTTACAACGAGCAAAGAAACTTGGTCTTGATATACAGTTAATCCAGGATGGAAAGCCAAATGCCTTGATATATGACAGAGAAGCAAGAATTCCTGGGACTGTAATATTTGGTGAGTATGTTCACTTTTTCTTCAATATAAAGAACCAGGGTGGCGTGGCCGGTCGTGTTGCAAAGAGAGTTCTCAATACATTATGGGGAGCACTCTACCAGAGGAAATGCAATTACAAGACACTCACCACAGATCAAACAGATCCATTCAAGTTTCCAGAAGGCCACACACTTGACTCCATCATACCAGTAGGATCTGACCAGTGGCGATTCCAATTCACAAACCCAGGTAGTCCCTTCAAGGGTGAGTATCCTAGGATTGCTCCATTCTTATTAACACATGGACGGAAGATGACTTCAGAGTTATTAGAACTATATAAGGATAAAGTACGACGTATCCATACAGATGGATTTATTCTAGAGGAACAGCCGAGTAGTCCTACACTTATCACTTGTCCAGAAAATGCATCCAAAGCATTGAAAGCTCTCAAGTTTGAAACCGCAGGATACTGCCATGTGAAAAATGCAAACAAGGTTATCTGGACATGATTGCTAAGAATGCAGTTGGATTTACAGTAGGTATATATATTTTTTTCTTGCTTGAATGTAAAGTCAATTTGAAGATTCCTATTTATTACAAAGTACAAAAAAGTATAAGGAATCATGTCAACATATACTGAATTAGCAAGTATTATTAACTGCACTGACAGCATTAGTGATGAAGTTATTTATGATGCATCATGCAATCAGTTCACCATTGTCTCTGATGAAACTGTCTTCAAGATTATCCTTGCATTTAAAGACACTATAGTAGTCGCATTAGTATCTGGGTTTAGCAAAACCAGCTACCTTGTCCAGGATCATGTGAAGTATATCAAGAGAATTCAGACAGCAAAGTCTCCTGTATAATATGTGAAGTTCGTGGCCAGAAAACTCTTTCCAGATAATGCAGCATATACTGCTAAAATAGCAAAGATTCGTGAATCATACAAGAATAAACAAGCTCTTTTAGACAAACTTGAGGCCCTCTTCGAGTTGTATTATAATGTAACTAAGGACTCATTAACAGGTCTTCCAAAGTTAGCTGTTACTATGAATGAGGCTGAGAAAACCTTAGCAGAACTTCTTGCATAAGCGGCTCCTGTACGAATTTAGTTTATATTTTTTATCCATTTGTAATGGGCATACAGTAATTGAAGATGGCTATAGTATAAGTAACATAACATCATGTTGGACCGATTACCAGTAGAAATAGTCGAACGCATTGTTGCAAAGATCCCAGATACTGACCTTATTGCAGCGAGTAAAGTAGATAGTGTGTGGTGGCAGGAGGTTCGTCAAGAAGCATATAAGGGATGGAAAAATTACGCTACTACAATTGGGCATGTCCAAGCTCTTGGAAAGCCGTTTGAAAAAGGGAATATTGACTGGATATCATTTGAAGATGTAAACGACTTCTATAAAAGATGGATAGACCGCCTCACCGAGGATCAGCTTTATATTATGGAGAAAATGCTTAGGAATGGTATGGTTGTGTACCCCCAGGAAAGGGAAACCATAGAGCATGCATTAAGTGAACATAGATGGGGAGGTGATCCTTGGAGATTGGACTGGAAGTGGAATGATTGGATTCAACAGGAGTAAGCATTTTGTACTTGACTTTCGTAGGAATTACCCTGCAGAGTCATATTTTTTAGATCCGGCCGGCATTACCGCGTAATCCCGAATTACCGAAAAAAGAAATTTATGTTACACAAGGTTCCAAACGCATTCTTACCAAATCGATTTTTTGTGGAACGGGTATCGCCCAAAAAGGAAATGATCTACGTACCGCATTAAATCACGTGACATGAACTCCGTTCACATTTTCTGTAATATAATCCATAGTTTTTCCATGAATACATTCTAGGCCAATAACCCAGTAACTTATTTATCAGGTATCCTTGCATTTTTTCGACAAGGATTTATGACCATGTAACCTTATCATCAGGTATTCTTGCATTTTTTATAAGGACTGATGACCATGTAACCTCATCATCAGGTATTCTTGTATTTTTTGATAAGGACTGATGACCATGTCACTTGGTTATTAAAAATTGAAGAAAACTATTAGGTATGTAGATACATACAGAAAAAAAGACATGTCTTACCCTTATATATATAGCTAACCCTATAACTGGACATCCAATTATTATCGGTGGAGATACCTTTAATCGAATAGTTATGGAATCCCATGATTATATTGATGGAAGGCTTGTCCGTAGACAAACTGCACCTCCACCTGAAGAGCAACCTGTATATTTAAATACAGATACAGGACGTTATGTTCGACGTGGTACTATAACATATCATAGACTGATTGAGAGTGACTATGAGGTAGTTGAGGATTACTACCTTGTCCATTATGAAGAAGAGGCGCTTATAGAGGAAATTATCAATGAAACACGCTATAATGAGGAAAATCTTGATGGGCAGCGGTTAACTTTCAATGATATACAACAAATCAGGACCGCTATTCAGGCTGACCAAGATGAATATGATGATTTTATCTTACAGCAAGATACGACTAACGGGACACCTTCCTCTAGTCCTTCCGGTCATCCACGAACTTTGGAGGACCATACCCCAAGACTTGCAGAGCTTAATATTGAGTTGTGTAGGGAATGTCTCATGCCTGTAAGCCCAAGTGACTTAACGGACAAGTTGTGCAAGGACTGCTCCGAATAGTTACTTAATTTTGAATAATTCTTTTTTACATAAAGAAAGATAGCCATGTCAACATCAATCGTAATAAACCAGTGCCAAAACTATGGAGTAATCACTCCAAAAACAGCACATAGAGGATTATCCAGTGTATTATACAGACAGATTATAAAGAAGATTAGTGATAAGAATGACCCTCTACAAGCCTTGGGACTTGCTAGGGATAAGTTAGTTCATATCATTCGTCGGGCAAGTAATGTGGACTTTACACAATTGTTTACACAAAGACTGGATATGAAAATTATGGATGGAGAGCCATATGAAGATATTAGGAAGTGGCTACTTGAACAGCTTATAGCCATAGGTTGTGATAGTGGAGAAATTGCCTTATATCAATTTCTAAGGGATACATATCCAGATGGTATTGACGAGCCTTTCAATACATTCTATGAGAACTATGTAAATCATATAAGTAATTCAATGATTAAGAACTTTGCTTCTCGTGCCTTAGGAGCAATAGGGTTGAAGGCTAAGATGTTAAGGATTGACTTTGAAGGCTGTAAAAAAAGTGCTATGATTCTTAGAGCTTCTGCAGACGAATTACTTGATATTCTCACAAGATACTATTAATCCCTACTTGTAATGCTCGACGGTCCATGTGGCTCTTAGAAAAGATCTGTATAAGGACTTCAATACCTTCTATTATTTTTTTATTATCCAGAGGGCGACTAGACTTCAGGGCTTCATATTGGGAGAATAACTCCTTCACATTCTCAGTTTTCAGAGTTTCAGTCTTTGCAGTCCTACCCTGTACTTTTGCTAAGAAGTCCTGAAAGTCAGCTCCTAGGGTCTTACCAGAGAGTCCATAAGCTTCCCGAAAGACAAATTTAATCCAGGTATCTGTATTCTTTGCTAAGACACCATGTACAAGTAAATGTTGACGCTCTTTAGGGGATGGAAATACCCAAGCAAATTCAATCAAGTGTCCACCTTTTTTTGCTTCAGATACAGCTTTCTGACCATAGGGACTAAACTTGGATCGAACTGTGATTGAACTGGGTTCAGACTGAGATCGAACTGGGTTCAAATTTGGATTAAACTGAGATTGAACTGAGATTGAACTAGGATTGAACTGAGATTGCTTTGTGATCGAACTGAGACTAGTATCTCATCTTACTCGAATGGACAGTGGATCACTTTTAGACCATCTAAGATCAAACACTACAAATTCACGTTGCAAAGTAAGATCATCAATTACTGGTGCTAATGACTCTGATTCTTCTGTATATAGGCTTATGATTCTCTTTGTATCTGTAAGGCTTCCATGACCTCCATGCAGTGAGATGTAGTTAACATTTTCTCGAATAGCCTTAGGAATGGCAAAGAATTTTTGGGCTACATAAATATATGAAATATTTTTGTGTCGTCCATGTGTAAAGTAACCAGTGATGAGATCCTGGATTTTTTTAGGTGCATCCATCATATCCTTTAAGATTACCACAGTAGCTTGAGTAGGGTCGAAGGAGTCAATCTCTGGAATCTCACTATGGGTTACTGCAGTGAATGGGATCTTCTCCTCTTCGAAAAAATCATGTACAACTGCCCACTTCAGCTCATCAAGATATCTGCCAACTAAAAGTACTGCATCACATAGTATATACCGATTACCATCCTCCTTTGCCTTCTTGTCACCCATTAACAAGTTAATGATCATAGTTGTCTTACCTGAGTCTGAGCTACCTGCTACGGCTAATCGAAAGGGCCATGATGGAGCAAACTTATTGCCTTGTCTTGAGTCAGTCGTGTACTCGTCCAAATTGTATACATAAAGATCCATTTGAATTTTATTCTTACTTAGTTTAAATACTATGTCGACATCAACACCAATTCCAGTTTATACTCCTTCAGAACCTACTGGACCGCTTTTTGCACATTTGGCTAATGAAGAAGACGATGATGAATTAGTTAGAATACTAAAGGCTCATGCAAATTTATTGACTACCAGGGGTCGTTTAACTGTTGATTCAGAGATACAGGAGGCAAATAATCAAATCAAACATATTATTAATATATTAATGTATCGCTGTAAAGCAAAACATGAAGAACTTGGTATTACAAAAGATTTGTTAGTTTTTGCACAAGGTAAGATAAATGCATTTGATGAAACGTTTACTAATTTAGAACGTCAATTAGTTATTATACGTGCTGCCAATGATAATTTCATAGAAGAAAACCATAACCTGCAAAGAGATTATGATACTATGGTAGAGCTTCGTCGACAGGCTATAGGTGAACGTAATCAGGCACGACATGAACGTAATGTATTACAAGCAGATTATACTCAAGCAGTAATGGATCGTAATGAGGCTCAAAATGCTGTGAATCGTGGTAATATCCTTCTAAATCATTGGCGGCTGAGGGCTACTCGGACTGGAGGACAACTTGTATTGGCTAATGCGCAACTTGTACAGGTTAATGCATAGCTAGCACATGCTAATAATAGGGTGCGTTTTGGGATTCAGACATTAGGGAGACTTAGGAATAGACTTTTCCAACAGATAGCTGCTCTTAGAATTCAGGTACAATGGTTTCGAATTAGACAATTGAACCCTCCTCCACCTCTTTTAAACAATCCACTAGAGACTATATTGCTACCACTGCTATAGGATTGCCGATTTTTGAGGGTAAAGCTACTGATGATATTGATACATTTGTTAGGCTTTATATGGGTTATCTTGATACTATTAATCTTAACCCATATGCTGCTGGAGGGTCACCAGAGTCTTGGAAAAGAGCTATGGGTATACTTAGAAGCTGCATGGCCGGTGAAGCAGCTGAATGGTTTGATCGAGAAATTACAGGAAAAAATTGGAAACTTTCTGGTATCACTTCAGCTGGTGAAGCTAATTTAGCTGCTTTTGTAGCATTAGTAATACCAGAAGGTGCAGGAGGACCGAATGTAGGTACCTATGTAAATGGGTCTGAAGCACAAATCTATTCAAGATATCCAGTTAATGCATTAGTAACTATTAGAGCAGCATTTATTCCTACTCATGATTTAATGGGTGGAGATGAAGCTTGGAAAAGAGCTGGTGCTCGTCCTACAGATAGAGCTGCTCCTGCTACTGCAGATGCTGGTGTTGCTGTTAATAATAATCATCCTATAGTTTTTCCAGGTATTAAACCTAATCAGGCGCTTTATTGGCTTAGAACACAATTTCCAACTGTTTTAGATGAAAAGAAACGTATCCTTTTTAACAGTCTTTTCCAGTAAAATGAGCCAGTTGATGCATTTTATAGAACTGTAAAGAGGGCTGGAAAATTACTAAGACTAACTGATGATCTTATTATCGACCAGTTCTTTAGAGGTCTTTCAGCTGATAATATTTTTGAAGCAGAAAGGTTTTACAATCTTAATCCTGATGACTTGGTTAAACATCTGAGAAATTTAGAACGGAGAAGGGCTGAAATGCGCTTGGGGTTACAAGATAGAAATCGGCGACTTCGAGCAGATTACAGTGATATAACTCAACCTACATTAGGAAAACAGGAACCTGTCGTACTGACATCAAAGTCTTCTGGGGTTACTCAAGAACAATTACAAGAGTTGCTTAAGGCTCAGGCTGAAGAACTTACCAAGAATTTTCAGGTGCAATTTAAACAATTACAGGCTCGGCCAGTTCGTAATCCACCAGTCTATAGATAGCAGATTAAACCTGTTCGACCAAAACTACAGAGATGTGTTATTCAGGATCATCAGGATCCTGATTAAGATGATAGTTATGTAGAACCTGATGTTGGTGATGACCCTGATGCTCCTGAGTGGACTTTGGATGATCATCAAAATGCTATTGATCTTATTATGGGATATAAACGTGGGACGTCTAAAATACTTACAAATCAACTTCAGAAGGCTAAAGATATACGTGATGATCTGGATT